AGACTTAAGCCGACAACATTAATTGACTAGAAAAGTTTCCTGTCATGTGTATCATGTGTGTGCATGATACACATGACAGGAAGAGACATAACCCCTACCCTTTAATAAGAAGACTTAAGTCGACAACATTAATTGACTAGAGAAGTTTAGAAAGAAGAGAGATTTAGGAATACATAACAACTACTTTTTTGAGTTGATTAGCTTCATTTAAATTTAAATCCTTAAATGAGTAGGGAACTCATAAATAACACTGATAGTTTTAAATAGATATTTTTCTTATGGTTACAAATTATATAAATTTATAGACATTTCAATAAATCATTTATTCATATAATCATTTTATATATTAAATTTAATTTTAAAAATTAATTTTATTAATAAATAAATATCATTTTGTAGACTAACTTGTCATAGCTTAGCATATATATGGGATTAAGTTTGTAATTCTGTATTCAGTATTCAGACCTTCTCTTGCCATTTTGTTGCTGCAATTCATGTTGCTTCATTTTAGTCGGGTGGCTGCCCCCCGTCCTATACTGGCTTTGTCACTGATTGACGGATTGATTGGAAAAATTTGCAAAGACTTTTCAGATGAATGCATATGCATGACAGGAAGAGACATAACCCCTTACTTTCTAATAAGAAGACTTAGCCGATAACATTAATTGACTATATAAAGTTTGCAAGGAGATTTAAGAACACGCAACTACTAAGTTTTTGAGTTGATTACCTCCATTCAAATTTAAATCCTCAGATCGAGTAGGGAACTCATAAATAGCACTAATGTTTTTAGATATGTATTTTTCTCATAATTACAAATTGTATTAATTTATAAACACTTCAACAAGTCATTTATTTATGTAATTATTTTATACAATATTAAATTTAACTTTAAAAATTAAATTTATTAATAAATAAATATTACTTTACTGACATACTTACCATAGTTTATGATTTATATAGAATGAAATTTTGTATTTAGACCTTCTCTTACCATTTTGTTGCTATAATTCATGTTACTTCTTTTTCATTGGGCAGCTGCCCCTTGTCCTATACTGGCTTTGCCACTAATTGATAGATTGATTGGAAATTTTGGGGAAGACTTTTCAAGTTACATGCATGATACACATGATAGGAAGAGACATAACCCCCAACCTCTTAATAAGAAGACTTAAGCCGACAACATTAATTGACTAGAAATGTTTCCTGTCATGTGTATCATGTGTGTGCATGATACACATGACAGGAAGAGACATAACCCCCTACCCTTTAATAAGAAGACTTAAGCCGACAAC